GTGATCGTCCCACTTCGTTCTGTCTAGACCCTACCTCCATCTCTGTGGCCACGATTTCACCGGTTATGGTGTCACCTGGCGTCGAGGTGTTGTCTTCAGCAATGCAGCTGTCCAACTTACCTCCAATCATCCCCGCGTCCTACCTCACCACCCTTTTCCTCGTCGACGAAAAGCCTATTCCTCTACTTTCACCAGCAGTGGTGTTGGTAGTAGTGATGGAGGAGGCGAAATTGGTGGTGGTCCCGTTGAGCGTGAATCCACTGCTGGAGGAGACCTCTTTGTAGGCGCATCAGCACCTTCCAAGGTCACCGATCATGGGGATCCCTTGGGATTGGCTGGAGGGATCACTACGCTGCCTTCACGCATTCCTCGCTTTACCGACCTTGGTGTTCGACCGAGACGGTGGCGTAGGCGCCTCTCCAGTCTTCTTAGTCGCTTTTCCTTCCTCCTTAGCACTCACTCCCTCACTGATGGTGCTCATCCTTCCTCGACAGTGATGGATCCATACTACAGTGTTGGATGTGGATCCAATCGCATTCGACCAACACCTAGCTCCTTGGCAGCTCTACGATCGGGTGATGGAGATTTTGTGGTGGATCCGACTCTCAGTGTCTTCGGCAGTAGTGGAAGCAGAGGCGGAAGCAGGAGTGGGTGTGTAGGTCGACGGAATCCACTTGTCTTTGACGTCTATGTAGTGATTGAGGAAGGTGTGAACGACCGAGAAATATTGCCCGATTACTCGAAGAGTAAGATTCCTCACGAAAATACAACACATGGTCGTCCGAGCTCTCAGGCACTGCGAAGGAATAATGCGTGCTGTATGCAGTAGAGCTTCCTTTCCTCTCCATTCTTTCTCTCTCTGCATTTAATCGTAACTGTTCGCCTCTCCTTGCCTTGACACTCATCCCATCTTAATCTCACAACCTCCACCTTCAATTGTCGTAAATGGCCTTTTTCTTGCCTCCATTTTACAGGGTTTGATCCGACACAAGATAGATTTCAAATGCGTATATTTATTCGCTCATTCTTACACACCTCTTCACTTATTCGTTCATTCATTCATCCATTCGCAATCACTCAATCATTCATTCGCACCAGCCTTTACCACCAAAATAAGGTGCCGTCAAACAGCGTACAGGGACTTTCTTATTGTCAGTACTATTATGTGCACTATCTCGAACCTCAAAGCTACTGATACGTAGTGAAGTATACCTTTTCTATTTAGCGTCTAAAAATTTTCTTTTTCATTCCTACTGGGCATGTGGACCCCATTTAAACAAATTACTCATTTGAACATTGGCTGCAAGTGGTTTATGGGTGTCCAGACTTTAGACCGCATTCTGCACTATTCACCAAATAACTCGCATCAGGGCACGTGACAGTGTATGGATAATGAGAGCCGAGTTGGTAGGATTTGGAGACAAGCTGGAT